ATAATAATAATAATAATAATAATAATAATAATAATAATAATAATAATAATAATAATAATAATAATAATAAACAGTGTTTTCAATATGCCCCTATCAGCATCTCCATATTTTTCAGTTGAAATGTTACATTATGTTGATTTAAGGAGCAGCAAAATAGTGACAGCCAATCGTTAATAGAGACAAATTAATTTACGAACACAAGTTTACAGTATTCTGGTTCATTATTAATTTTTCCGACCGTCATTTGAACATTTCATACTGTAGTTCACGCCTAATTCGTTCCGGTCCGCCGACAGAGCGGGAAAATTTGTTTTGTGATTTGGTAAGTTAATTTTGCACGCAAACTTTCTCTGATCTTGTCTAAAGATCGAAGGTAAAGTATCCTAATTGTTTAGGTGGCAATATGTATTTTTGAGACTCAAACTAGCCTAGGTCTATATAATACACGTACTTAGTACTAAAGATGTATGAGGCATAGGCTAGCCTAGGCCTATCTAGCTCTCCTAGGCCTTGGGGGAGAGGAATGAATGGATAGACCTGCGGCCCTAGTAGGCCTAGCTAGGGCTAGGGGCCCTAGGCTAGGCCTAGATTGTGCAAGCAAGGGAAGGAGCTCATTATGCCTCTAGGCCTACGTCCTTATTAAACAAGACTAGGCTAGGCCTAGCTAGGCTTGTAAGACAACGTCCAGGGGGGCTACACAACTAAGGACTTTCTCTCACACTATCCAAACCCAGAAAACAGCCGTGCCTTTAGAGATACCTTCTTCTTTGTTTGATGTCAGAGTCATCAATTCCTGGAACACATTGCCAGAACATGTTATTAACAGCACAAACAAAAATGCATTTAAAAACAACCTAGTCATTCACAATCTTAACATAAAGGAGAGGACAATGAAACAGTGGCTGATCCGGGAAAATATAGATGGTGCGGGGTGGGGGGGGGGCCAGAGAGGCAGGGACTTTCACAAATGGAATGAGGCTCTTACCCAGTTCATAAGAAGATTTTGGCACCTCTAGGCCTAGATGGCTGAAAAAGGCACGCTCAGACTTATATTTTAGAGTGGTGGTACAGTACTCAATCGCCTACAGTAGACCAACAATACAAACGAGAAAATCAATTTTCAAAGTTTGGTGTTTTATTGACATCATTCGTAATGGAACCGTAGAGTACATCAACCAGTCGGAGATGAAATGCAGCAAAACAAAAATTCTATTGAAATAACTACAGTTGTTATTCTCTTACCTTTCTTTAGGCATGCACAAGAAGTGCCAATAGCGAATGTATATCACAGTCCTACTGTACTCGACAGTGGTTTTTAAAATATAAACATACAAAGGCCGATCTGTTCATGCTTCTGTGGTTGTATCCTAGTTAAAACCCGGCCAGCGTCTGGTTTTCATTGGAGTCATATCGTTGTGCTCCTCGAATAACCATCGCATGAGGGTTACAGTAGGCGGGATAAGAGACAATGTATCCATTATATGTCTGTACTGGTGCTGAACTTGTTGCTACCGCATGTCTCCATGGGCCCAGTCAATATTTGCAATTTCATATTATTTGGAATTGGAGAAAAAAGGAAAATTTAATCTCTTTTTTATGCAAGTAACCGGCTAAGTCTTCACCAGCGCCGACAGGGGTGTTTTGTTGTTGAATTAAAGAAGAATTGAATTGGGATATGTTTTGCAGTTGCCAGTTGTGGCTCTTCTTTGTACAAATCCCTCACCAAGTCCCGGCCCATGGCCCCATGCGTTTTCGGATGCAAGTTTTTCTTCCTCTTGCCTATGGCCTAGCGGTAAACTATTTTGATGGGCTTCTGGATTGGAAAGACTCCTTGCAATCTATGATTTGGACCAACTTTAGATGATGGATGGCCTGGTGCTGTCACTGCACTAGTATATTTCGTTTGGAAAATATACCTATGTTTTGAGAAATTAAAAGTACGTTTTGAGACCATATTACATCCCCGGGTCAGTAACAGATATTTCCCAAGTCTCTACATCCCAGGCATATAGTCTCAGCCAATTCCCTGCTATGGCTTGGGTCTGGGGGGCCCAGACTACAATTGAAAATGTGCATTACACTAACTAAATCTCAATGTGAAGTGAAGCTGTTATTTTCATGAGAAAAAATCCTATTACACTGACAGGAATTGAACCCAAGCCCCAGGGATTGGAAGGCAAGCATCATAAAGCACCAATCTATTCAATACCTCACCCCAAATGGCTCAGATTTCTATTTTACTTATTGTTTTTTACCAGCTCACGATCGGAATTAAATTTTATTATGGCTGACTCAGCAAACACCTCTCCAAAATGGACCAGACCATCTAATACAATAAAGGTGAAAAGGAGGCGAAGAGGTTCGTTGGTGACTGAGACATCTGCCTTGAGCGATAGACTGAATGACATGAACAAAGAGGGCAGATTGGCAACAAAGAGAAAAAATCCATTCAGTTGTATCCAGAGGAACAAAAAACATGTCAAAAATAATCAAACACAAATTCATGAAGAGAAACTAATCACAACCAAAAGCGATTCTCAGAATGAACTGTTTCGAAGACTGAATGAAGCAAGCTCAGACAATGTACAAGTAAGTTGCTTCAATTACAAATAGATAAAAATGAGATGGTAAATACTGATGACAAAAATACAACCGATTATTTTATAGTAAAATACAATAAAAACACCGTAAATTGTAAAAATAATTTAAAAAAAAAAAAATTAGGAAGAAAATGTGATGATTATGAGCTCAATAAAAATAAACAATTACAGCATTGATATTCTATTATTATTCTATCAATTATTCTATAGTAAAATGAATGTATATAGACACTGTAAATTGTAAAAATAATGAAATAAAGAGAAGAGGAAGAATGAGCAAAGAGCTCAATAAATTAATATAGACAAAGAATCAGCATTGAAAGAAAATCATTAAAATTTCCTGTTTACTGTACATCAATGCAAATTTATAGAGAAAATTGCAATTTTGATCAAATGAATAAAAGAACTGTATTGATTATTCTGAAAAAAAAAACATGAATTGCCTTGTTAAAATTCTGAGCAATTTAAACAAATTTCCCATTGATATTTTGAACATATAAAGAAAATTGCTTTCTCGATTATTATCTGAGCAAATGTGAAAAACAAATTCTACGTTTTCATTCCATAAATCAAGGTTTTATGGCAGGAGAAGACTTTGTTTTTAAAATGCTGCCTACAGTAAGTAATAATTCACAAAACCATAATCATTTCATCCTCAACATATTTTTTTTTTATGTTTATTTTCCCTTGTGGTGACTACTACAGAACTACAGTACTCAAACTATAGATGCAAGTTTAAAAAATAATGGAAAAAAAAAATCAATTTTAATTCTATTTTTGATACATAAAAAATTCTCAACAAACTAAATTGAACATTCATCTCATGTACTGTAAACAATATTGTAACTAGACCTATTTTGAATACTGTAATCAGAAAATCTTAATATTGATGTTTAATCCAAAATAACATGAGGAGATCAATGCATAAAAGGTATAATAGACAAAGTGGCGGTTAGAGTAGTTGAATGAATGGCACCACCAAAATTAGGGGATGGCTAGCAGTGCCAAAGAGCTCAAAGACAAAACATTCTTTTATAACCATCTTATGGTTTTCCCTTAAATTGATACCGGTGCTTTGCAGTATAAATTTTCATTATTATTATTATTATTATTATTGTTTATTATTATTATTATTATTTTGCTATTATTATTATTCGACAGAGTTGATAAGCTTGTAAACATTGATTGATGTTATGGTGTAATTATAGATTGAGTGTATTATAGATTGTTTATTAATATATTATATGTTTTTTAAAAGGTAACTGTACAAATCACAAATAGATTGTGTGTATTATCAAAGATAATAAATAGCAGAAGGTAGAGCAGCTTCCCAATATAGTGGAACATCCATTCGAAAGGCTTTGTGGGTACACGGACAGCAATTTTACCCCGTCCGCACGGCGGCGCTATATAGTAATAATAAAGGCGTCGCTCTGGTTCGTTTGTTTACTGTAGTTTCTCCACTTAGTAAAATGTTCAAATTTTACCCCAATCGCGGGAGGGTTGTTGTGTTCCATCAATTTTAATGCAAATACGCGAAACAGCTCATTCTTCTGCTATTTAAGTTCTTTGGTATTATAGATTGTATAATGATTATTATTTTGAAAGGTACTGTACAAGTTGCAAATGCCTGTAATTACACGTTTCATATTTTTCATCAAATTTTGAATTTTTAGTAATTCTTAAATTTATTCATGTCTAAATTATCGTCATAAGCTTGTTTATCAAAACAATGTAATGTAATATAGATTGCATGAAGTAAAATAAAGGTTTTCAGTTTATTTTGATTTATAGAACTAAACCTTAAAAATGTGCTGTTTTTTTTAAGGAGTTACCTGAATGTAGACACTCACAAAATGATACTAATGAAATGCTACGAGAAACAGAAGTGACAGCTAACCAAGAATTAAAGGAGGTATATTAATGAAAAATAATTGAATTACTGTGAAATAGAAGTCATTGGCTAATTATGTTTTTGTTTTATGGTAAGTGCAGGCCAAAACAATTTACCTGTAAATCACTATGTTGAAGGCTTTGTCCTGCCATTGGTAATTACAATATATTCTTACAGTAACCCTTAAGCACTAAAAATAAATAACCTATTTGGCGAGAAGTAAACTTTGAGAAGAATTCTGTATTAGATAAAAAAATCTTTTGGTGTTTTTTGCTACTGATTACCTATGCCTATTTAGTTGCTCAGTAAGAATCTTTATAAAGGATTGCCATGGGTAATGAAACTTAATTTATTTTTTGACTATTTATATATTATTTATTTATTTATTTTATATTTTATTTTAATTCATTATTCACATTTGAAAATGGGGAGCCCACCATTTACAGAATGGCATACATAAAATACAGGAAGGAAAAATGCTTATTCAAAACTTTTGATTCATTCAATGTAATATCATCAGTTGTTTACAAAATAATGTCAAGATTTAGAGCAAATGTTAATTGCATTTTAACATGAGGAGGTCAATGCATGAAAAGTATAATACACAAAATGGCGGTCACAGCAATTGAATGAATTGCACCAACAACATTAGGAGACTGCCAGTAAGGCCAAAAAACTTTCACAACTCCAAGACAAAAACATTCTCTAATAACCATTTTATATGAGCTTACATTTAATGTTTTTTTTTATCATTCCAGGAACCAAGATCGCAACAGACTCGCACAGCATTTGACAACTTCCCAATTGATTGGAGCATAAAAACGCGACTGCGTTTTACATCAGAGAAACCATTCAGTTGGTGCACTTCACTCAAGAGTTCTGAGGAGGCCTCGGGATTATCGGCATTCGTCAAGTGCGTGCACTCATCTGCTCCAAGCTGCTTAGAGCTAACACAGGTAACATAATGACTTACATTTTGCTTTCCACATTATTGACATGTGACTCCACTCTCTGTAAAATATGTAATTGTCTTTACAGAAATGACAAACTGTTTTATTGTACAACTGTTTGTGTCAACCTGATTCTGCTGTAATGGTGTCAACATAACATTAACTTTCATTAGAAATAGCATATTGTAATGGAAAATATTAGCTTATATTATATAAAATGAAAATATGGACCAGATTCTGGGAATCGCATAAAGAGTCAGGTTCCGAATTAGCTGTATGGCTAGTAATACTCTGCAGGAAACAAATTAGTTTAATAGACGTATGTGATTGATTCCGTATTCCATGAACAGGGGAGAAAAAAATGATCTTAGGTCAAAGGTCAACAGACCAAAATTAATTGTGAAATAATTTATAAGAGTTTACATCATGTATAATTTTGATATTAAAGTATGCGATATATCAAATCCTTACATAAGTATGGTATGAATTAACAATGTTTTAATTTCTTCCATTTATCAAACTGTAATTCCAAACCTCATTAATCTCAGTCTAAATAATAACATTTAACAGCAATTCCTTTTTATAGCTCGCTTTAATTATTGATATTCAAATGCGTTGTCATGTATGTATACTGTGAGGGAACAATATGTTAAAGAATCAAACCCTCTAATCCATCTGACCTTTGGAAAGGCAATTTCTCTTTAGCATCGTTTAAAATTCTGCCCGAGTGTGTAGTAACGCCGGACCAGAATGCCCTATAATTCGGCAAATAATCTTGAGTCTTGAGCATCTTCTACTATTACTTGTGCACATTTGTCATCTTGAGTGCTTTTCTATTAGCGTGGATGCATCGTGCAGCAGTAGATTCTGTGTCTATCAATTGTACACTATCAGGTGAATCTAATTAATACTTAATGGATAGATCTTGTAATAGGTCTCAAGGATTATGTTTCTCAGGATCCAAATTCATAATAAAAACAGCTGTATTCACATTTTATATTGACAAAGCCTGAACATTTGCATCAACATTATAATTTTATTATACATTTTTATGTACATTTTATTATTAGATATCAACATTAATAAAGTTGTTGACAATGTCACACGTATTTTTTTTACAAATATATCTCTAGGACAGCTTCATTTAATTATATAATAATTAATCAAATGTTAAAAAAAAAACAGTAGTTGAATCAAGACTTGTGTTTTTAAAAATGTTAGTGGCGTATCTAGGTATATTGATATTGGGGAACAGATGGGGTGTAACAGATATTGGGAGGGCTGAGTGAATAAGTCAGGGGATAGCTGGCAAAATAAAGTGATTTAAAGGGAATCTTAACTATTGAGATTTTTTTTTTGTTTAGAAAAATGTTTAAAATGTTGTGTATTGTAGTGTATGGCTGCTTGTGTGAGAAGGTCAACCAAGTTCATTATCAAAATGATTTTATTGCTTTTTACAGGAACCTGCTTCAAAAAAATCAGATGTTCCAAGTCATCTGAAATCAATGTTTCATCAACAGACTATGGTCTGGATTCATCCATCAATTCCATGGTTTAAGGCATTTCCTAGGATTGTCCAAGAGCCAAAGATAGCCAAGTAAGTATATCAAAAATTTAGGCTGCAAATAATAAAGCAGGTTGAGGAAGGAGATGTGTAAGTAAAACAAATATTGAAAATTGTATATTGTTTTGTTTCATCAACGCACAATAATTTGAATTTACCCATCAATTTCATGTTAAAGCCATTCCTAAGAATTTTCACAGAGGTAATCTGTAACTACCTCAATAAATAGTCTGTTTAAAAATAGACAATATTTTGAAATGATGTTTGCCCTACCTGACATGTTTTAAGTATTGAATGCTCAGTACATTCCCAAATACATGTCATGTAGGGCAAACATCATTTCGTATTATTTCTCCTGACGCAAAACACCATCGGAATAGACAATAGTTCTATAATTAAAACATTTAGAATCAGTACCAGGTGGAATGCATAAATCTTCATTATTCTACAAAGTACTAAATTGTTAGTGCTGAGAACTTTATATTCAAAGTACCTTGCCCAAAAATACAAACAAGTGACCTGTTTGAGACTCTAACTACTGATTTCTAATATGAAGCCGAAAGCTTTGCTATTTGCACCAAATATCTATATTCGCGTCCTCAACAGTGTGCTTGCCAATAATTAATGCAGTATAATGAAAGTGGAAGTGAGGTCTTCAGTTCTATAAACAATGCTTTAAATTAGAAAGCACGTGCTTACCATTTTGTTAATTTAAATTAAACCCAAACATTTTGAATGGTATTGGTTGCAATTATTTATTATGCAAAATGAGATATACAAACACAAAATGATATATTTTATTTTGTTTCCAAATGAATTACAAGTGAAAGTGGAAAGGTTTTCTTTAAAATCAAATTTAAAGCAAACATGTATATTATTAATGATTGATTTATCAAGGGGTGTTCGGATGCTTGGGTATTTACCTCTGACTTTCTAGCACTTGTTTTATTACAATTTGAAATATGAAAAAACAAAGTGAGAGCTTTCACATCCTTGGTGATATCCTAAAACAATATGATGCTATGATTGTGTAAATACAGTTGAAATTCAACTGCCTTTGATTTTCAGGGTTCAAATTCTATGAAACCATTGTTTTATGACTGTAAACAACTCTAGCTTCTAAGCCTCATAATGAGGCATGGTTAATAATAAAGCATAAATTTCATCCTGTTAGTTATGAGTCACTCGCTGTTGCATGAAAATAAAATACATTTTAAGAAGTATATACGGATGACGTTTTTGCGTCAGGAGAAATAATATGAATCAATGTTTGCCCTGTCTGACAAGTTATAGTACTGAATGCGCAGTACTTTCCTTAATGCTTGCGAGGAAAAAAAAATCGTGCGAGCGATTCAGGTGGGAATCAATCCCCAAGTAGCAGCAGGCACTGCAGTGCTATTCTGATGACATTTTTTGCGTCAGGAGAAATAATATGAATCAATGTTTTCCCTCCCTGATGTGTTAAATTACTGAATGCTCAGTATGCTCCCAAATGCTTTCGAAAAAAGATAACAAAAACTATATGCCCATATGTAGTCATGATGTGCCTATATATATGGTCATCATGACCATATTAAGCGTGTCACATGTTTTTTCAAATAAAATATGAATGTGTACAGTTATTGTGGCTGTGTTCAGTCACAACCCGTTATGCTAGCGTAACGTTAATTGCGTGGTGTGAACTTGTGCGCGGTGTAGCGAACTCCAGTATTATTGCGCAATCAGTAGCGTAAAATAGTCCACCAACAGACCCCAGATTACCGTACACCACTGAGTTACGACAGTCATGCATCAATGATTCTGAACTTGGCCAGAAATTGACCTATCATAATGATTGGTCAAGCCTAGATGTAAACAGAAAATAAAATGCGCAATTATGAATATGAATATTTTGCGCGAATACTTACGCGAGCATTCGTTAATCACCCAGTCTGGACATCTCACTAGTTGCCCCATGGATTAACATACGTCCGGCATTAGATACAGCTGGTGTATCTCTCTGGTTGGAATGTAGCCTAACATAGATAATATTTTGTTTTGTCTCCAGGATTTTCATCAACACTTCTTAAAGGAAAATTCAAGTATTGAATTTCATCACAATCCAAGCAGACATCTGTCATTTTTGTTTTATAACTTACCAATAAATAATAAATTTCCTATAAAAATATTAGAGTAATGCTAAAAACCTATTTCAAAATGCTGTTTTTGAGATTTATGGCTTTCCAAAAAATGTTAACAAATTCTATTCATCAAGAAATTATGTGAAATGTCAAATCTTGAGTAAAAAAATTATTTTATTACAAAGATAAAAAAAATATTTGATGTGGAGGGAAAGCATTAGATCAGGATGAAAATCAATATTGAAATCAATAATTTTATTAAATTAATTTTTTTTGTACATGTATTGTCTTCAAAACATTGTATGTACATAGAGATGTAACTTTAAAAAATAATATTCAGCCATACTAAATCACCATGGAAAATAATTTTTCCATGGTGATATTTCTAATGTACCACATAAAAGCAAAACAGAGGAGGCTGCAGCTGAAATATGAGATGATGTATGATATTGAAACCCAGCTTACTTACGCATTTATTTATCAAATTTGACATAAATTCATTGTACACTAAAAAAGTAGTGCGTATTAGATTGCAAAGACACATTTCTTAACTGTAGTTCAGAAATATTAGATGGTAACGCTACATTTAGGGTCAATGCATAATGGGTCAAAAAATAGTAATGAAAACTGGAGTTATAGTATATAATTTCTACTAAGTATCTTCAAAGTACAGACCTCGTCCTTAGGAATGGATTCATGATTTTCTATGAGGAGGGGGAGAATAATACACTGTGTAAGTATCTACATCAGCTCCACCTACCGTACTCAAGTAATTGGCAAGTTGAAATGCTAGAGAGGTGGTCCCCATTGATATACTAATATTTTCATATGCCTTAATAAAAGTGTTAATTTAGGCCTAATCACTATAAGTGACTATTTCACAGTGATAATAAATGGCTAATAAAAGATTAGCTCCCCACATCCTCATCAAAGTCCACCCCTGCACATCCAACATCGGAAAAACAATAGATTATTAACTTACTCTAAAGACCAAGCCCGTAGCCAGGGGGTTCAATGTTCAAATTAAGTGTCCTTTTAAATTATTATTAAAAAGTACCATTTACATAGAAGTTGTTCTTTGAAATTAACTCCAAATATTTGAAATTTTGCATTTTTATAGCAATTTCTGGACATATAGGTGTTATATCTTTAAAATTTACCCCAGTCATGGTGGGGGTGAGGTGAGGTAAAAAAAATAGAACCCCTTTTGAAAATTCTGCTTACAGGCTTAGAGAGAATGACCATTGAGGTGAGGACATTGAATGTTAAAGAGGCATTGAAATGTACTGACAGCCAGAATACTCTGATATGTATACTATAATGATGCCAACTTATTGACACTGTTCTGTGCATATTAAATATTGCAACGATATGAATATTCCATCTAAATTCATTATCCTATGTAGTATAATATATGTAACTGTTTCACTGGTAATGTATTGGAGTGTGCTTATTTAAAAGAATAACACACACAATTGTTTTTAGCAGTACAGTAGGAATCAAGTGGAATCAGTTCAGAAAGAACATAATCGTGATAATATTCATGAAGACAAACTGTGGCCTACTAAAAGAGGATGAATATATTTCAGAGACAATTGTAATACTGTTTTATGATGCAGTAGCATTCATGGAAATATTCTATTAACTTTGGTTCTAAAAATGGTAAAGATATTCAGATAACATACTTATTCTATCTTCAGCATCCATATGGCTGTCAGTATGATACAATTCTATCACTCAACTCATATAAATTGCTAAATATGGATGTTCTATTTTACATAGCTGTTCTAAATTCTGATTTTTTTTTCACCAACCATCCCAGTTTTTGAGGGTGATTAATAAAACTAATTAACCAATACTGGTAAACCTTAAGTTTCAGTGATGTCTATGTTTAATTGTATTGTTTGATATTGGAATAACAATTATTGGAATTGGTTTACTGTACATTTTATACATTTAACTGCTGTACAACAAATGCATCTTCTAATGTTAATATATTTGCTGGCGATACTGCTGGTACTCGTAAAACATGATGATGACAGGCCATTTATGGTTGAAGTTGCTGAAGCAGAAATTTAAAATTGCAAAGAGAAATAACTAATCTTTACTATGGTAATGGTAAATTCAATACCCATACTGCCCTAGCAATAGTTAACTGATTAAAATATAAAAATTTAAGTTTTCCTTTTAATCTTAATTACAAAAAAGAAATTTTATATTCAGTACATTCTTAAATATCATGAAATATTTCATTTTTTTTCTTCACAGACCGTCTTTCGCTGTCTCAACTGATGCCATACAGAAGTCCTTGTTTGCAAGCTGGTGTGAAAGTTTCCGTTCCATCTTTCATCTCTTTCGTGCAAAGCACTGTCCATATTTCTACCTATGTGCCCATCAGTTCTCAATATTATTTCAAGCTGTTGGCATTGGTGGCAGCAAACAAATGCAGGCAATCATCACTCCTACAACCAAAGGATTCCGGGAGGCATTGTCCAGGGAAGGTAAGTCAACAAGGAATTAGAACTCCAAATTTCATTGCTTGAGTATCAGTGGTATATCCAGGGGGGACTTTCACAAAGGGAGGGTCTAGATCAAATCAGCCCCACAATGGTTAGGGCGAGGGTAAACAATTTATGATCACTCGCAGACCTAAATTTGATCATAATTTTCTTTTTTTCTCCATTTATGATTTTTTAAATAATTTTGACCAACTTAGGGGGAGAGAACCAAGCCGTCTGGGCCTCTCTTCTTGAATCCCCCACTGATTATTTATGAATATATTAATGTCAAGTTGTTTACTACCTATTTTCCTATTGTTTAACTTGTACTTTACATTTGAAGGAAATTTCTATGAAGTGAATAAGTATATTTCATTTATTTCTACAGGAATACAGTATTCACTTCCTGGTCTCCAAGTAGGAGATAATGAAAGACCATTGACCACACCTGACTCGTCAATAAATAATTCACTCTCTAATAAAATGTTAGTATTATCTTTTCTATATTTATTGGTAGATACCTTAAAGGTTGCAAAAATGCAGTGATATTATTGTGCTTTCCTTTGTTAAACCTCACAAATCTGCATCAATTGTTAATACCTGGCTTGTACAAAGCAGGCCTAGGATTCTACGGAAGAGCTGCAGTTATGGGTCCTTTTTAAAGGCGGTAGCTACCTAAATCAGGGACCTATTTATTATGGTCCTGGGCATTGTTTTTTTTCTTTTCATCTATCATTAATCCATATATCTAATTGATTAATTACCATTGTTAGAGATCAAAAATGTTTTTTTCAACGTGCGAGTTGTTTGTCACAGCGTGGCTGCTTACACAAGACGGTGATTGATAAGTTTTTGTCCACCAAACACATAAATCAAATGAAATCACATACCATGGATTTACCATGTTATCTTTCAATCCATTTAGTGACAGAAACAAATCTTCAAAAAGAAATAAATGACCATTTATTAATTATCGTACCTATTTCTGTTCTGAAGAGATTGCCTTGAAAATGTATGTGCAGCTGAAGAAGTAGAGGACGATGACATCACACAGGATGATGAGGCTGCATCGTCATGGATACAGAGCATTGGATTAGACAAGAAAGAATTTCCATCCCTTGATCCAGCAAAAGTCAAAATGTATCCTTAGGAATACTGTATTTGTAGTTATGTAAACAAAACTAGTTTATTAGGTGATATTAAGGCTTTCAATTTGGAGACCTACATGTATATTCACAATAATAATTTAATCATCAGTAATATTTTAATAACTATTTGAGATTAACCTGATGAACATATGTCAAATAGGTATAGCAGACAATTTCCCTATTCAATTATATGATTAATAAGAGTATATACTGTATGGTATAAGTATTTAAAGAAAAATAACACTTTTAAAAAAATCGACGCTTCAACTATCATATCAATATCAAAAAGGATAACAAAAAAAAAACGGGTCTAATTTCTATTAATCCTCGCATTTTTAGTACTCGTTACTCATTGTATGTATTGCATTTCATGTGAGTGGAATAAATTGAATTGAATTCAACTCCATCATGAGGTCTTGTTCAATATAAGTCACAAAGGATACATCTGCTTATAAATTATAAATTTTTTATGAATACTTTAATACTTAACTATGGTACCTAGACAAAGGGACAAGATGGTTAAACTAGACCACAAGCCCCAGTCTCTTGTACTGGTTGAAGGCGCAGACACCCAGGCTCTGTTCAATTTCTTGCTCAACAGTAGCAGCACGGTGGCCGTTGCTGGGGCACAGGCTGGTGTTCCACCCACACTATTAGCACCAGTGGCATATGAAGGGTCCACCCTTCAAAAGTGCAAGGTATAAAACAAATCAAATTATTTTTTAATTCGAATAAAAATAGCAACAAAGACAGTTGTGTTAGATGCATAACCTA